ATACTTACGTAATATAATATAATATATTATTATACATATTAAAGGGAGCTGATAAGTTACGGGGGAGATTTTCCCCCTAATTCTCCCTCCGTTTGATCGTCCTTGATGGTGAAACTGTATCTATACAACAATATTATGGTTTGAATCGAATCAATTTTCCATCGAATCAAAACCGATTTACTCACGTTGTCAGATTAAAATTCGCAATCAAAACGCTTGGGTTATAAATAGAAATTATAATACTGTTTATAAAAATACTAGCCAATATAATTTAAGTTATACGTTATACCTATCAATATAATACGCTTTGACGTTATTGATAATTTTGTATTTCATTTTTGTTTTTTGACGTGGGTGTACGCTATACGTGTCTCGTCTTTAAAACTCAAAGTCCCGGAAATTGAAAACGCTCATTCTGTTTTTGACAAATTCTTTACGTTCTCAGTTCCGGAAGTATTATATATATATATATATATATATAAGAAAAAAACAATTTATGTTCAGACCTTGATGTTTTTTTCCCCGAGTAATCCATTTAAGTCACTTCAATCAATATTTCTAAAAATATTGACTTTTTTTCCATAATTTTTTTTTTTTTGATTTACGAATAAAACATAAATAGATGGTGTAGGTATTAGTTGACATACATTTTGGTTTTGAAATTTATTTAAACTAACACTCTATTTTATACATATGGCATGTTTAATACAGTCTGCCATTTGAAAATTAAATTTAGGTAGTCGTTTCACTCTTAAAAATAGAGACGACAAAAAAAATAATGTTAGTATAACATTTTAGAGATGCTTATTGTTTCTGTAATTATCAAAAAAAAAAAAATAAATAAATAAATAAATTTTGAAATAAGTAATAATAAATGCTTTGGAAATATCGAATCGTTATGTAGGTGTAGATATGAATTTCCTTTCATCACAACTGTCCACATAATTCTAATAATTAACTGAGTACCTATGCTTTTACTCGGATAGTTGGTTTAATACCAAATATTCCGTTTACACGACTTTTTTTTTTTTTTCCAGTGGCGTTTAAGTCCTAAACATGTAGCCGATCGAAATGCATTTCAAATGGTCCCAATAACTAAACACAGTCCATTTTATGTGTCCGAAATTAAGGTTAGCGTGCGTTTTTATTTCTGTAATGAAGTATTCATTCGGTTTGGCAACCAAACTTTCGCCCAAAATGAAGCGGTAATATGTTTAATTTTTAATAGATGTCGGGCCAAGACCCGAACATAACATATAGGATTCGGACTTTTATTAGGTAGGTACCTGCCTAATAAAATTCGCTCATAAAACCCGATAAAAATAATGGTTAATTATTTTGAGTGCACTATTTTATATATATTGTTGTGAACGAGTATTAGTATTTCCGATTTATGAACGTCACGCCGCGCCGGACGGTCGCTCTAATCTAGTAATGAAATAGTATTCGTGGTGTAGGTACTCCCGCATTATTTCTGAACGATCGTAATTAATCAAATGCGGGAAAATAATATTATGCGCGAGCAGATCATTTGAACTTTCCGGGTATTAACAGGTAACATCGAGAAAACCCTATACTATGACGGCGTTGCACATATTCTAACGTTCTTGCCGTTAAAAGGTTTTGATACCATAGGTCCAAATCGCTCTTAATATTAAAAACCGACGTCTGCGCAATAAGTGGGCCCGGCTAAACGGACAATTGTTATGCCGAAGACAGCTGGTGTATTAAAACGACGTTCATTTTAATATTAGAAACGAATTCGGGCCGAAGTTACAGGCTCGACGTTTTTCACGAGAAGCAGTTGTACAAATGAGTACCCTGCATTCTAAACGTTAAAACGAACCCGGGCGGAGCTTTACTTCGACGATTAGAAAAAAAAAAAAAAAAATCCGACTGTCATAAAACCGATACACAATATGGGATACAACTAGTTCAATGATATTATAAACCCGAATAATATTTGCCGTTCGAATCGATTCCGTACTGTACGATACACGGCGGGTAAGTACTCGCGCGTCCTCGTTCAGATCGGTCCGTCTGGTCGTCATCGTGTAACGCGTTGAATCGAACGTTCGATAATTATATAGGCGCCAACCGCAGTGACGTCGTGGTTTTCGCGTTGTTAGGTGGTACTATTATTTATATTGTAATGCGAGGTTTTTTTTTTTAGTAGACACACTAACTAACTGCCTACATGATGTCATAGAGATTTAGTTGTGGCGCTATACGCGTCCACTTGACCGACTGCCCGCGGACGAGGTTTGAAAATTCCGACCCGTAGAACAATGAAGCGATAATATTATTATCCCATAGGTAGACCGCACACGTCGAAGCCGATAAATGATCGAAATCGGTTTAGAAAAAAAAAAAAAACACGCAAACACACACACATGATGTTGTAAGACGTGCACAGAAGTAGACGAGAAACGGACGACGCGAGACACAATAGTTACGAGTTGACGGTTATTTTTGTATATTATTTTAAATAAATAAAAAAACGGACGTCCTAGGTTAATGGAGATGGGTGCAGCCACTGTTATAGGAAATTTAATGTACACCTGTAAACAACGGTACATCGCTGCTAACGAAAAAACGATTCTGAGCACAATTCAGTTGATAGTGATGCTTTGTCAACAATATATATGTCACGTTACGGTAAAATACCTAATCGGATAGGTATTATGCATTTTCTTTAATGACATTTGTTTAATATTGTACCGATTTTCCCAGTTTTCTCATGTTTTTTCCCGGTTTTTCATATTTTCTGGGAAAACTCTCGGGAAAATTGAAAAATGACCTCCTAAAACACCTTCCCAGTCAGATTTTCATTCAGAAAAAGTGCTATCATTGTAAATCGGAGAATCCCCTCTCCCCCACAGAATTTTTTTATTGTGTACGTGCTTGCAAGCGATTATCTTTTTGCTCCACAAAACGATAACCCAACAAAATTGGGTTAACCCTAATTCAATCTAACCTATCACGGTGGTTTTTAATCAAGAATATGTACACCACTTTTGATGTAACGCAAGTCGCGTTTTACATTTTTATGTATACACTTTTTGTTCGCATATTGATTTACGAGTATTAACCGTGTTAACAATTTTGTTTTTACTTTATTGTTTCATAATTTTTATTTTCGACGTGCGCTTTTTTCGGGATCCGAATTCCACTGTATAGGCGGCGCTGATTTCGTGGTATATCGTGAGTAGGCAACCAAACACTTGATCACATAATTTACCATAATAATATTATGTTTTATAGTTTAAAATGTTTGTTCGTGCCTCGTTGTAGGGAAGAGTGCGCCAGTGCGCGTGCCCGATACGCCCACAATAATATAATTACCATATGTATGGTCCGGGTATCACAGAGCTCATTATTTTTGGTACAACAAACTTCCAATAAAGTGCCGACCCATACGAATTTACATACCGATAACCGGTCGCAAAACCATCAAATCATTATTGTTTCTACTAGAAATATCGCTACAATCAAACAGTCTACAGCAAGAACTTTCTCGTAGCGTTTTCGATCTAGTCGGGACATTGAGGGCGTTTCGACTTCCCTTGGAGATTTTTTTTTTTTATCGAATGTGAAATAACAAATTGTAGATTACTGGGTTACCTCGGTGACAAGTGGAAAAATACTACTATAACAACACTCTGTTTAGAATCGCTTTTCGTTATCATCGTGTGTACAGATAGCAATTGAACTGGTCTATTATTATTCTATGGGATAGCACGTGCATTCATCTTATCGATACCTCATTAAGATAGCCTTGAGTTCGCCGGAAATACTTCTCAATAGAAATCTATTCGTTTTTATTAGTCACGTGATTATCGATAAGTCATCATACACTCGTAGACGTGTTTGTCTCGTCTCAGTAAAAATTGAACATACGTGACGTCCAAGCACCGAAAATATGAAAAATTCGCTACACCGCTAGAGCTTTGGCCAAAAACTACTTCGCCGCACCGAGATGACCGTAACACGTTTGATCGTTCGTTGCGTCGCGGGACTTTCGGGAGAACGGACGGTTTCATTCGTCCAGCCGAGACATCCGCCGTGTCGCGAGTCGACTGCGGCGCGTCCCTTTAGATTCCCGTGCCGAAACGTCGGCACAAGTGCAGAGAGTCGGCCCTATTCATTTTACGATTGTCGATAACCGCGCGTGTTGCGCGTCGATTCGTTCCTGTAACATTGACAATGCCGACGACGACGCGAATCGTACGGTAAACGAATATTTTCGCAAAAACGTCGTGTTTCCGTTATTATCGGCGGGAGTCAACGATGTTGTTCGTGATTTTTTCGCATGCGCCGTACGGGGGGGNGGGGGGGGGGGGAGAGAGGGGAGGGAAACGAAGTGAAACAAAAAAGACGCCCGTTGTTGTAGTTTTCACCGTAAATCGATAATAATTGAACCGCCGTCGGCCGTTACCGTACCGCAGTGGTCATTAATCTTCGTACCGATAACACCACGCTGACTCGCGTTCTAACGGCGGGAATCTTCTGCATCGGGCCGTCATTATAACATTATAATGTACAACAATTATTATTATTATTATTGTTATATTATACGCTACGGCAACGCCGCGTTATCTGCGGTGAAAAAACGAAAATCCCATTAAAATAATAATAAAAATTAAAAAAAAAAAAAAAAACAATTATAACAAATCGCGGTCGATACCGGGGGCAGTTTGTTTACGGTATTGATAATCGTTATTATTACGTTGTGTTGTAAACCGTACGCACGTTTATCGAAACGATGAACATGTTCAGTTTCGTTTGATCGGTTCGCGTCGAGAAAATAACCGGCGCGCGCGGCTGTTGCAACCATAATACGGTCAACAGTTTCCGACCGGCGCGCGCGCGTGCCCGGCACCGGCCGCGGCCGTTTCCGTTTCGCCGTTTTCTCGGATATTTGCTGTACCGCGCTGGCCGTCGTTTCCCGCCGTCGATTATTTAGCGCGCGCCATTCCCGCCGTCGCGCCCGAAACGTTATGGACAGCGCGACGTGGACCACGGCGGCCGGCCGGACCGCGGTCGACGTCTTCGACCTGGCCGCGCCGCCGGCGCAACGAACGCGGCTCCGGGGTCTGGACGAGCTGGACGGCTGGTGGACGTTCGGCTCGATGCCGCAAAACATGCATTTGGCGGCGTACGGCGAGGCGCGCGCCCGCTCGCCGTTCAACAACGGCCGGGCCGGGCGCCGACCGCCTCCGCCGCGGGCCGCGGACGTGCGGGCACGCGACGACGGCCGCGTCAAACCGCGGGCCGCCCGCGATCCGGACGCGTGCTGCGGGCCCGTCGAACCGGCGCCCGTCGCCGGACTCGACAACGCCACCGTCGCGCTGCGGGCCGCCGACGCGTCGCCCGCGCCGTCCTCGACCGCCACGGCGGCCAGACAATCGCGGTGGAAGAGGTTTCAAGTAACGGTCACGAGGTGTTTACTAGCGCCCTGCCGCAGCTGATGGCCGCGGTGGCGCGTTTGCCGTTCCGCCGTCGGCGCTGACCGTACGGTATTTACCCCGGTCGCGTTTGCGACGTTTTGAGGTTCAACATAATTTGTTCAATAACATTATTATTATGTCCAATAAACGAAGTAACATTTTTTTGTAATCGATTCGGCTATTTTTATTTCGCTTTTAAACCCGGGAAGTCGTGCGGCGACAGCCGTCCGTCTCGTCATTTTCGACGACGTCCCGGTTGTTCGGTTTAGAAATTATGCGGGAGATCAGGAGTGTCCGCCGAATGTTTGTACTGTAAACTTTTTTTAGGAACCGTACAGTTTTCAAAATATTTCGCCGATTTTCGAGTTACGGCAGTGGCGCCCGACATCGGTTTTTTTTTTCAGATTCCGAACAGCGCGAGGAATGCATTGGTTTTAAAATGATGTTTATTTTATTAGTTTTTTTTTTTTTATCCGCGAACAACTTTCCTGCCGGCAATTCAGCTCCGATTTACAATGATAGCGAATTTCCCGAAAGAAAATCCGACTGCGGAAGTACTTTAGGGAGATCGCTTTTTGATTTTCCCTTTGATTTTTGACTTTCAAGAGTTTTCCCAAAAAATGAGAAAAGAACGGGAAAAACGTAGGACAAACGGGACATTACGGATACAATATCAAACAAATATTATTAAAGAAATTATATAGTGCATTCATAATTATTTTACCACAATATGGCCTAGATACTATTGGCAAAGCAATAATACTTTGAACCGAACTCGGCCCGGAATCGTTCTTCGTTAGCAATGGTTAATCGTTGCGTACATTTGTACATTCAATTTCCCCTCTATTTCCCCAACTTCTCCCCTACAATATATTTGGTTTTATGCGGATAAGTGTTTGTCAGCCAAACCAAAATGTCTGAACATTTTACACGACGTTCCTCATGCTAAGCGTAATGCAGTCGGCTTAAATATTTCCATTTGTATGCATTTATTGTGATTTTCAGCCATACATGTCGTTTGGAAACGTATAATTGTTGTCCTTTCAGCTCTTACGGATGCTCAGAATGATTTTGGTTGTTCGCAATCATCGCTTCAACTTCTACATCCGTCCTCGTCTCCTTACCCTTTTAATCTCGCCCGTACACTATCAACTCGGGGCCACCGGCTTCTTCCCGTAGCACCCTTTCCATCCTTTGTGCATTAATAAATTCTTCCGTCAACGGGCTCGGCGGTTTTTTTCGCAGTATTTTTAATTTTTTACCCCTCTTTTTGTTTCGTTTCCCTTAATAATATTGTCTTTTATGTTCCATAAACTTATATTTTAAGTACGTGCAATTGTTGTACAAATAATAATAATGAAATAAAACAACGATTATATAAATACTTTCCCCTGTGTCCTACGACAGAGACAGAGAAAAATAAATAATAAACGCGACAGCCCTGTCCCTTTTTTAAACTTCCTAGACTATAAAATCCTTATAAATGGGGTTTTTTATTCGTATTTTTAATTTATTTCACTATAGTTTATGTAATGTAATATGAGAAAAGTATTGTTTTTTCCATAAAGTAATCAATTTATTTTATTTTACCAGTCCTAACGTCGCGCGTCGCCGTTATAATATATTTTTAACGTATAGAACAGTGTAAATGGCAAATGTGGGGGGGGACGAGTGAGGGTACAAATCTCCTCCGATACATAGAGTATCCCTTTAATTTATATTTAAATTTTACATTGATTTACATCAATGCTAAGGCCAAATAATATAGGTATTTTTAGCTACCATATCCTCCAAAATTTGATTCTGCCTTTGCCCTTTTACTATGAATAGGATTAGAATATTATATAAAACTAAAATCAGGTCTTTTAGTTTACGCTTACAAATGTACGTTTACTTGTACAGGTAATTATTACATATCAAGATTATTATTAATAAACACATACAAGTTATCTCAATTTATTTGTTTTAACTATGTTGTATTTTTTATATATATATATATATATATATAGCTATACTTAAAAAAAAAAATTATCAGTACCAAATATTATGTGTTTTTTTTTCTTTACAGAAACGCATAGAATAGAATTACTTTTACAGTTGTTTGAGGTTATCGGGACTAAACTGTGATAATAACTAATTATGAGGGTTATCGCAGCTAATAATATTATTTCCATTTTAGGAAAAATAACTATACAGAATTGAGGAAACGATGAATGAACAATATTGTACATGACAATCTATTTTCCGTAAGACATTCCTTATCGTAGAAAGTATTCATTTTTTCTCTATACCCGCAGCTGCGTTTTTCTGCAAACATTTAAATCTGGTAGGTACATACTTCCGACGACTTGTTGATCGAAACCAAACATTTAAACACTAATTTTATTTCAACTAAAACATTCATTGCTATCTATAGAATTTTCAGTCTGAAAATCTAGTCAATAGTTTTTACTGTCCATTGACGTAGCTAGGATTTTTCAATGGAAGGGAGATTAAGGTTTAGGCCTGTACAATAGGAAGGCACTAGGTATGCATAAAATAATATTTTTATTTTGTTAAATTATAATTAAACAATTTAAAATGCCCACAGTTTTAATTTTAATTAAATTACATTAATTGTAGTTTTTTGTATGGGTTGTTAATTGATTTAAAATATTATCAAGGTCTATCGTTATATCACTGTGTATATTCATCATTTCCAATACATTCAATCTACTTTCACACGTAGTGTTTCGTAAATAATTTTTTAATCTTTTTAATGTTGAAAAAGATCGTTCACAGCCAACAGTTGTAACTGGGAGGATTACTAAAATCTGTAGAAGTTTGAAAGTAGAAGGGAAAATTAAAATATAAATGTATGGATTTTGAGTTTCCATATCATATTTTGATAAATCACGAGTTTCTGCAGCTGCTAATTAACTGCAGTTATCTAAATCACCTTGATAAACTTCGACTAACTGCTTAGTTTTTTCTTTGTGAATTATAATGGATGATGATAAAATAAAGTTAACATTTTCAATTGTAGATCTGTGAGATAGAAATCGCTCATTAAATTGGTTTAAAACATGATCTTCAAATGGAACGAATAAAGATATTCTGCAATAATTTTCGGGAAAATTATGACCTGTACATTACATATGATTTTTGCTTGTTAGCTGTACGAGGAATTGATATTTCAATGTTCAAGATATGACATTTAGATTTCACATTATTAAATATAATTTTAAATTCTCTTTTATCGTTTAATCTTAGTTTTTTAAATAATTATATTTGTCACATCGTTGGCGGTTTGCATAGTTTCAACCAGATCTATATTCTGTGTCCGAAAAAACTTAATGGTAAACTTATACTCGACACGTTTCCCAGTAAATAAGCTACTCTTAGCAACCTGCTAGTATAAATTCTGGCAGTTTTATAGTATACAAAAATTCATATGCTCCTGATAAAGCATCTTTGTCTAGCCATGTACACATTTCTGATAAACTATCAATTATTGCATCAAATAACTCAAGGAAAATAATTATTGAATCGTATCAGTTTACCCATCCTGTTGGAGATAGTAGTTTTAAACTATTATGGATTGATGAATTCAATAGTCCAATATGATTTAAATACGCAACGAATGATAACGATTATTTAATAAATCAGGAATCATGAATATCAAGTTCTGCAATTAGTCTTGACTCGTGATGCATGATAAGCGACAGGCGGCAGGTGGTAGCCACGATACAGAGAAAATCTTCTCTAAAATCTTCTTAACCTTACTTACCTATGGCTGAAAAAAAAAATCAATAGACAGGGACAGAGGAAAATTACCCCCCCTCCGGCTACTCCACTGTCATTACCAGCCATACGTTATTCATACCGTGCACTTATTATTCTTAGTATTATTGTCTTAAATTATCCAAAAAGAAATTAATTTCAATATACTTTCCGGGATAATGAGATGAGCGATTGACGTCTTATGGCCAATAATTGATCACTTTGTATAATAAAGGATAAAGGAACAAAAAAAAAAAAATGTCATTATAGAAAAACGGAAGAGCCTTTTTAATTAGTGTAATGGCAGTCGTCGTCGTCGTCGTTGTTTGTATACAATATTTATTACACCGGATAAACGTGCGGTCAAAGGCCGTACCTAGTCAAGTCCTATAACGCATTTATACGGTTATGAAAACTAACGATAAGGTCGAATTGCGTTTATTTTAGTCGAATATTTTTTTTTTTTTTTAAAGATATTAGTCGAATAAATTGCCCAAATCATTTTTCGGATATTTTTGTTGAAATAACAACAAACATAATAAGGAAAAAATTCCTTAATTTAAAAATTTTAAAAAAATACTAATTACCCTTCCACTTAAAATTTAATTATAAACGTGGTCAAAAATAAAATTCGTTTTATATTCTTATACAATATACATACATTTAATTAAAAAGTGTTTTTGTGTTTATTAAATTATACTATAAAATAAACTTTTTTTGACTCAAGTGCAATTCGATTTTTAACTTTTTTAGAACCGTGAAATTTGTACCAGGATCAAAAAAAAAAAAAATATATGATTTGGTCCCTGATAAAAATTGCATAGTACCTATCATAAAACTGTTCGAATTAGTTTCTTGTGTATAAATAGATTTAAATAATTAGCATATTAATTGGTGTGATCAGAATTTTTGTTGGAGATTAAGAATTTCAACACCGCATGACTGCTCACTGGTAGGCCATTGTTGCAGGAGTAAGGAACACAATTGGGAAGATACATAAGATATTCAGGATAATTTAGTTTATATTATACTGTATGCCACAATAAATTACTGCAAACGAAAATATAATTTTCAGCGGGGTAGTAACGTAGTATAAAATTTGTGCTTTTTACCTTGTTGCCAAAATAACTTAAAAATCAAGCAATACAAAAAAGACATAGGTTGTTGAAAATGTCGATACGGTCTAAAATAACGTACTACCGGACAGAAAGTACACATCCGTTGAAATACTGCGTGAAAAAAATTGGACCATTTGGCTT